AACAAGTCTACTGCATGTCAAGAACAGCTCTTCGTTTGCTTAGCAGAAATGTACCCTCTACTACAATGCTGTGTTTCAATCCTGCCCTCCCATTCTCTTTTAAAGCAACTTCGTTCAGGAACCTTCACAAGTAAACCCCTGTAAAGAAAGTATTTCTTTAAATGCTTTACACTGAACTACTGTCCTTTAGATTTTCTTTTGTGTTAGATTTGTCTTTGGAGCAAAGAGCTACTCTCCAGATTAAAATTATTCTGATTTAAGTCTTCATACAAATAAGGAGACTTGAAATGACTGAGATATGACTGTCTAAAGCAGTTCAGTAACATTCAAACTGTATCAACTTAATATGAAAATAGGAGAAATGATGATAGCTCTGTAAGATTTGCAGTCTCTTCAGAACAGGTCTGAAGTCACAATTCCACAGAATATCTTTCCTACTTGAATAAATTCTTCATCTTTTTATTTTTTCTGAGACTGAAATTTTATTTGAAGAAAAATGTGTAAAACCCCACTGTAAATTTTACGTAAAAGGGACAATGGTTTAATTTACCACAAAGTAATGTTACAATAAAATCCCAATCTCAATCTCTTATTAGGAGAATGACTCTGTCTTGGTAGCCAGTCACACACTTAGTGGTCCTCAAGACTGTAGACCCTTCCAGTTTATATTAGATCTAGTACTTTTGAAGTTCATGGTGCAATTCTAGAGCAAATTTGGTTTTGGCCAACCTCTCAGTGACCTTAGCAGAAATCATGTTTCAGTTTGAGAGTGGGAAAAGGAAGTGCAGGACTTCATCCGTACTAGTCTAAACATATTAAAGCGTGAAATATAAAACCCTTTTGACCTCAGTCTTTATAGCCTGCTATTGTCATTATTTTTTGCTGCTCATTTTTTAAAGGAATAAGTAAAAGCTACATCAAATAAATTTTAAACTGGGAAAGCCAAGAAATAGCAAATTCTAATTCATACAGCAAACATAACTGAACTGTTACACATAAATACATTAAAGCTAATCCCACCCACAGTGATCTGCAAGCTCTATTTCTGCAGGCGAAAGTCAAGTCATAGCTGTCCTCACAGCATTAAACCGAAGTTCACCCATTTGGTGCATTTATAATTTCCATTTCTGTGCAGTATTGCTGATACCTCCAGGTCTAAACATGAGGAGGCCTAAATGACTGTGACTGTGATGCCATATCTAAATGACCTGCATCTCTAGCACAAGAAGCAAGTAGATATAGGATGTAGAACCACACTGAACCTCTCCAGCTACTGAACAAATCACCTTACAATACTGGCCAGCACAACTGAAGAGCTGCACTTGCCAGTCACTGTCTTCCTTGGCTGAAAACTGGCCCCAAGAGAAGGGAAGAAGGAGACTTAAAGATATTGAAAAGCGTGGCCAATTTTTTAGAGGCCTAATGACGTTGCGAACTGAGTCTGCATGGAATTGCATCAAGTTGTTTCTCATTCTTTCACATCCCCACAAAGAGAAACTGGATTGGGAAAGGACCCCCTTTTTTTGGGGTTAAAATGCAACCACCTCACTCACTGCTGCCAACGTTGCCTCAGCCAGAGGAGCCCCAGGGAAGGGCTTCATCGCCACCACGAGGAATGCTAGAGAATGAGCTAAAATTATGAGCTACAATTATGCAGCCCAGAGCAGCGGGCTATACTGCCTTCAAAGGCCCTCCCTGCTGGCCTCCCCGCACCGATTCCCCAGGAAGAAGTCCCCCTGACACCAGACAGCCAAAGCAACCACGACTTTGCTTCCTCAGGAGGCGCCAAGAGACAAATTCTCTCAGTGCCAGCACACCCGTGCCCAGGAAGCACAACGCTCTCAGCAGCTCAAGCTCGACCTCGCGGGGCTGCCCCGCGCCCCGGCCTGGCCCTGGAGGCCCCGGAGGCCCCTCGGCAGGTAGCCACGTTCCCCCTGCAGGGGCTGAGGCGGCTGCTCGGCAGCAGGTGTTTCCTTACGCCGCTCGGGAGCGGTCAGCGAGCCCCGAGATAAAAGCGACCGTGAGTTTCCACCACTTTGCTGTCGGACAGGAACGCTCTGAGCGGCCCACCGTGACCAAAGGCGGTTTCCAGGAAAGGACATTGTCCCAGAAACAGCCAGCATGAACCAGAGGTTAGATCCGGCCTCCTGATACGCTTGCTGAAGAGCTGCCTGGTTTAGCAATGGTTAAAGCAAACCCTCGTCCAGCAAAGAAAAATGAGCAAGTTTGCCCTTTAAAGAACTGGGTATGAGACGGACTCTGTGAGGAAAAAAAGCACTGGGAAAAGGGCTGGAAAGCAAAATTCAAATCACAAATTCAATCAAAGGTTTCTGCAGAAATAAAGACTAAGGCTCTGGATAAACCCAAGCACAGGGGAACTTCATGTAACTGTGCATGGGTAATGAGCGGAGTACACTCCTGGTGGTTAGATACTCATATTTGAAACGCGAGCAGTGCATAGGAAATGATAAGAAGTGCACAGGAAGTTACAAAAAGAGTTATTTTTAGATGCTAGATACTGAAAACTGGTGACTCAAAAATCGAATCTGCACTGCATGCCAGTCCCTGCTGCTTTGACCCGCATCAATTCACCTCCATGCCCTCTCCTCAGTCCTTCACCTCCTCACACTGGCAGCCCCACACACTTGATTCCTCTCCGGCTGCCATAACTCGAAGCATTAATTCTGGCAGGGGGGAAGCAAGCTGCTTAATTTTAAGACCACGCTTTCTCCAACGTGCGGTTTTGCCACGAGTGCAGTTGCTATGGCACCTACTTCTGCTGAGATACAGGCAACGTCGCTGGCGTAGCCGGAGTTTCTCAGGCCTTCGACGAGAGGCAAGATGGGTCTGCTCCTCCTCCATTACAGATCACTGAGCCCAGTTCGGTCGCCCCTTTATCCCCCACACTTTCTGCCTCCCCACACACAACCCCATGGGTCCGTCCGCCCTCCTTCCCACCACGTGTCTCTGCTCTGTGCTCCCTAGGGTCAGGCTTCGCCCTTACTAGCTGCCTATTCCAGAGCAGCAGCGGGGAGGTCCCCTGAGCGGGTTGCTTGCTCACTCCAAACCCTTCGGCACGCTGCTCCCCAGCTCTAAGAGTCTGCCCAGAGAGGCAGGAAGGGTGCCCAATTTGTAGGGACAGCCTGCCACTGGACACACAGTATACATTAATCTTTAAAAGCTTTAAAAATCAATGAGCCAAAGGCTATGTTCCTCCAACTTTAAAGCAGGCAGTTTAATTGCAAGAGAGTAAATTTGGCTTCCGAAAGCTGCTGCAGCACGAGCATGTGGCTCTTCCCCCAACTGCACGCAGTTCTGCCAAGTGTCAAGACACGGAGTGCTCTACAAGGGGACTGAGCACGCAAAAGGAGATGCCGCTCGGGGATCCTTCCGTCATCATCCACAAAAACAGGGCAAAGAGGAGCATGAGAAGTCGCACACGCACTCATAAACATGTGCAGAATTTGTCCCTTGGCAGGTAAAAAAAATTCCGCACGAGTTAATGAGAAAAGAAAGTAGCGGACGAGGCACTGTGAAATCTACAGAAATGAAGAACTTCTTTGGCCTGAGGGTGACAGAGCCCTGGAACAGGCTGCCCAGAGAGGTTGTAGAGTCTCCTTCTCTGGAGATCTTCCAAACCCGCCTGGATGCCACCCTGTGCCACATGCTCTAGGTGTCCCTGCTTGAGCAAGCAGGTTGGACTAGATGATCTCTAGAGGTCCCTTCCAACCTCAACCAGTCTGTGATTCTATGAAAAGAGCCTTAAACTCACAAAGAGAGAATCTGAGCCCCCTTAGGTAAAGGAATTATATCTGAAGTCTGGGAAAGCAAGGCTGAAGCCATCCACTTTGTCATTTCAACAGTCAAATTAAGGGCCGTAGCAATCAGAACTATTTGCTTGCTGCAAATATGTAGTAGGAAAAATCACAGTCCAAACTGCTGCCCATATTGCTGTAAAAGGAACATCTTTCTGTCTTTGCTGCATGGCAGACTTATCAGTAGCATATAATGTACAAGACCTCAAAGAAATAGTAGACATGTTATCAGCAGTGAATGTAAGACTTTCTTGTGCAAGCTTTTTTGTATTTACTTTTATTTCTTTAGCAAGCTCTCCAGACATCCAGCTTGAGGTGTGAAGTCTGGAAACTACTACAGTCACCTCTGCTCTTTGATTTTAGTTGTCTACACGGGAGTGATTAAGATGTTGTAGTGCTCTGCACCTTGCTAAGAAAAATCTGTATGTTCTCACATGACAATATTTATTTTATGACCAAAAGTACTGTTAAAGCACCAGAACCAAAATGTTTTACTATAGTCACTGCTCCTGTACATGCTCTTTATCCAAATACAGGACACAAAAGGGAGATTATTTTTTATGATGACAGCTGGGCATTAGACATTTCCAAGGATCTCTGATGTGCATTTTCCAGCCCAGAGAGCATCAGAGAGTCCAGCAAATGCTCGGATTCACTAGCTCACTTTCAAAGAGCAAATATAAACCTGTGTCACTTTGTGACTCCCCAGCAAAGTCAGCAGAACAAGATTCGTACTAGTGCAAATGTCCCTTCAGGAGGGGTTTGACTGTAATGTGCTGATGTGTGAATGGAAGGCCCTGTGATACAGTCTTGCATCCTGCTTTCAGTCGTGTGGGGAATCTAGCAGATGACTGTGGTGGACAGAGAGGAGTAGGGACACAGTAAGCTATCACAGCAGGATTTATCAGATCTTGTGTAGATTTTTATTTGTTCCTTTTTTTCCCCCTTCTCCCGCTCTTTATCCTGAGATAAAGAAAAGTATCCACATGGAAAGTGCATGAACTACTCTGTAGAGGCAAGCTGCAGAAACAATGTGAACGACAAAACGTTTGTGTGTTCCTGCATGTATTATAAAATAAGCCCTGTGCTCTTGCAATTTCTCACGCTCCTCAGAATGGCATAGGTGTAGTCATAAGATGCAATAAAGAAAGTATTGCTTTGACTTCCACTATCTACATTGCTTACCTTCGTTAACTGCGTGAGGTTTAATAATGCAACAAGTACAGTTTGTGAATTGTGCACTGTTCACTGGTCCCCGACCTCCACTGGAGGGAAAGAACAACTCCAGCTCCTGAAACAAAATTGTAATTTAATATATTTTAGTTTGAGCTAGTGGTACACCTAAGCTTTTTATCATAAATAACATCTGACATCTCTATAACCACATAAACCTTAATTATAAATTTTAGCACTTCAAATATATTTTTCCCTTTAGTTTTCTCTCAAATATGTCTTTCTCTCTCTGGCAGCATTGTTACAATCATAAAATCACAAATTGGATTTCTCCCACAATTTCTTTCTTTCTACATCCCTAGTGCAATCTATTTCCATTCCCAAGCACTAAAAATGCTGCTACCATAATCACTTGGCTGAGTGCTCCCACTTTGTGTCTCTCTTTTTCCTCAGTATTGCTTTCAAATCCAGTCCCATATACACATATTTCATCGCTCTTCTTCACATCATCTTTTTTCTCTGCATGAACAGCTAACATCCTTTTTTTTTTCTTTTTTGCATATGCAGAACTGACTTCTATTCCTATTTTTACAGCTGTTTTTTTTTCCTTTCATCTAAATGACTAAACTTTGCCTGAAATTGTCGACTCCCGACTTACTGACTCTACTTTCTGTCTTCCCAAATCGAAGCAGATGAAATCAGCTGCTCTGGCTCCGGAGATGGCTCAAAAGACCCTCTCTACCTCCAACTGCTTCCGTTCTGCCCCCATCACTGTTTGTGAATCCCACAGCCTGGGGCTGCAGGCCGCGCTGGGGGGAGCGTGCTCCTCCCATCCCGATATTTTGCTCATTGTTCACAGCCAGCTTCGTGCTTTTTCCATACCATTTACTCACACAGCCTACACAATCTGCCAATAAACATTAGCCAAATGCTGTAGAGACAGATTCTATTTAAGACCTATCGCTCAAATTCAGTAAGAGAATTGATGAACTTCTATTTAAAGGAAACAATAATATCCAGGAGACACTACTACATAATCTATCCGATTTTTTTCTGGGATAGTAGTAGCAGTACTGAGGGCCAGTTCCTGGAATTGTCCCCTTTAATTCAGTAGCACACTTCAAATGGAACAGTTTCCTGCATCCTTCCAAAGACAAAATGCTGCGTGCTCCAAAGACCCTAGCCCACTCTGAGACTAATGTTTGCTCTAAAAGGCAAGTAGGAAAAGGGAGCAAAATATTTACAAATATCTAACACTTTGTTTTGTCCATTAAAAGTCAGAAAAGTATTAAATAATGCCAAAGGATGAGAGTAAGGAAATACCAAATAGGAACCAAGTGCAACTTTAAAAACAACAAAAAAAGAGTTATTATGTCTAATCTAAAATAATCCCCAAATTTAGGCTGCAGAAATAGAGACAAGATCTTGGAGTACCACAGACACAATTTCATCGGTCATTTAGTCCCAGAAAGGACAACACAGCTTTCCACTCTAGCTGCTTGATCTACAGTCCACTCACTAGATAAGGTTGGGACTTTGTTTTTCCCTTGCATTCCTTTAACTTCTGTTTCTTTCTTTCCAGAAAAGCTTCTGCAAGGCACATTCAATTAGCTTCCATGACAACTGCTATTTGGCCAGATGATACTAATACTGGACCTACTAAATTAAAATAGGCACAGGCCTACTAAAACCACAATTCCAGTTGGTTTACAAGAGCCTGGTACTGTTACCAATAACTTCACAGACACATATACCAGCAAAAGTTCAGCAAAATAATTCCAGTCATAAATGTAGTAGAAATGAACATAGCTTTCAAACAGCATTTTAAAAATAATAAACGCAAGAACAACAATCTTAATCTGAAGAACATACTCATAGTCCTAATTAAAATCTTATGCGAATAGATATTCTCTTCAGAGGTTCTTGCTTCAAAATCTGGCACAGTTGCCATGGCAGCACACAGGCACAAACAGAAACTTTCTCCTATCTGTATGAAGACATGTAGGTATTTGACCAGAATGACACTGACTTCCTCATCAGGCTTTTTCTTCATCATAAAACCCAACAATTTCATAGAACCTCTGTGTGAATATGTACCAACTTTATCAAATTTACCATGAGAAAATGCAAATTTCCTTGTGCATGTGATTTCCTGTCAGAACCAGGGAGACACAAAGCAGGAACTCAGGGGGCCAAGTGCTGTGTAGTGCAACGCAGATCCAGCAGATCGAAGACGTGACCACCTGAAAGCCACCCGTGCTTTGAAATTAAGTTGTTCTGCTGGGCTGCAAGAAAAGGCTGGCAAGCTCTGCCCTCATGACCATGGAATCCACATTCTCTAATATGCAATACTTAGCACCTGGCGTAGGTCTCTCTCAAGCTGTGCTGCTACTGCAGCTTTTCCACCTTCATTGGAGGCCACACTAGGATCAGCGTAGCAACAATTGGTATTTTTTCCCCTGTGGTCTGGAGTTAGATACCACAGGGCAATACCAAAATGTATAGCCAGGAAGCAGGCAATTAAACCACCCAAACAAGCCTTTGCACTGAACAACCAGTATGCAAACTTTACTCTAGCCACACACTTACCAAAACATCTATCAAAAAAACATCAAGGCAGACAAATGGAAAGCTCAGCTGTATATAAATGTTGGCAACACGTATCAGCCAATGCCTGAGGTTTTTAACACTACAGAACAACCCAGACTGCAAACAGCAAAAGAGAACAGGGCTACAGTACATGCCACTTCAGCATGCCCGATGGTCTGGCCTGCTGCACTACCTTTCTAAATATGAAGCAGTAAAAAAAAAAAAAATCTCTCTGCAAGGGGGTCTATTTCTTCTGAGCAAGGGCAGCAGGAGGAGGTGGACTGTGGGCACAGGAAGAGGATGAGTGACAGCTGTGGGGCAAAAGAGAAAGCAGAATACATGAGGGCACAAAAGGATGTAAATGTGTGTACCCTTTCTTTTGAAGATCAGCATTGGGAGGTCATTTGTAGGTTATGCAGACTATGCGGTCAGCTGAACATTAAAACCTTGAGTGCTGAGTGCGTGTGATGCACAGAAGATGTTAAAATGACCAGGCATGCTCTCCTGGTCACGGTGCCCAGTGATCCTCTTTGTAACATGGCTAAACAAGATTTCTGTTCCAGATATTGTTTACATTTCTGTGCTAAAAAGGAGCCATGCAGAAGCAGCTGTTACCTGATTAAGTTTAAAAAAAAAAAAAAAAAAAAGAGTCAAACACACACAAACACTTACTCGAGCAGCTGAAGCAACTGAATCTGGGCCATGAGCTGCATTTCTTAGGCCATCATGTCCGAAGTTTGCTCTAATGCTGTCTGGCGCATCAGTTTGAGCCACTGCTGAGTTTGCAGGTCCTAGCAACGTTTTCCATTTAGACACTGCATCATCTCCTAAGATTTCCATAGCAACAATGGGACCACTCGTTACAAACTGGAGAAGCTCACTGCAAAAGGGAAATAGCACATGGTGACCCAGGCAGTGAGTTAAAACCAACAAAAACCTCCTCTGTGATCTGGTGGAGGCACTTAAAACTTAACTGGACATGGCCTGGAGCAACCTGATCTAACTTGGAAGTTGTCCCTGCTTGGAGGAAGTGGTTGGATTGGGGATCATGCTGGGATTCTTTTGATGGTTGTAGAAAAATGGCCAGGTAATCTTAAGCTAGTCTGAAGAAGTAGCAGCAATGGTGGAAAGAGGCCCTTGCTGAGCATTTGCCTGCCAGGAAGGCCTCTTAAGCAGCTCTCTTCTGCACAGACCTCCTCACGCACCCCCTGCACATCTTCCCCCCTGAACAGCATCAGTACGGCCATTGCAAGGGGCTGCTTTGCTGCCCTAGGCCTGCCAAAATCCAAGAGAGACACAAGATTTGAAAGCTGGTGGTGGGGAAGAGGGTTAATCACAAACTCATCACATCCTGGCGTAAGCAGAAATCAGCTCGTGTTAATGGCATGAACCTGAGTAAGGAGAGGAGGCTCTTTGGAGGAGCCTATCCTGGCCAGCTCATTTCCATGGAAAACAGCTGCCCCAAACTAGAAACACCCTGATGTCCCATTTGAAAAGAAACTTCACTTTAATTCTATTTCTTTACAGAACGAGCATGCCAAGAACCCTGCTTTTTCAGCTTGCAATCTAGACAGAGCCTGTACCATAAATGGTAAAGTTGAATCAATTCTTCCTGTGATTTTCTTTTTTTTAAAAGATTACAAGATTTTTTTAAAATGATTACAATTGCGAGCATGCGTGCTCACACTTATCTGTGCATTCACAAAATTTGTCTATTGTATGCATTTATTAAATGTATTTTAAAAACTCTTTTATATTTCTCAGTACAGAAAAGGTTCTTTTGCCAAGAAAGAGAATTGCTGTTTTTTTCTTACTCTTCAACAGACTTCTATTAACTAAGTGAACCTGCAAATCAAATTTGAGAGTTCTTCTTACAGAGCAGTAATAAAAAGCCAGATGTAACTATCAGAGATTTTACATTTCATTGGCTTGAAGATTCTTGTTCTATTTGGTCATTAATTATTTCTGTTTATTCCTAATTCAGAGAAAAAAAAGATGCAAAGACATAATAGCCAATAGGGCTGGAGGAGAGAAGGGGACCATCACTGTGGACCAAAGCCTCAGAAAATTACCACTGGGGCAGACATCTGCACAACAACAACCCGGCAGGCCGAATTCTTGCTCGCTCATCGGCATGCTCAGGCAGGCTTACGTGGCAAAGAAAAGGCAGCTCCAAAAGTGCCTCTCACCTCCCCGATGGCCACACGTGCCCTGGGGTCGCAGTGAGCAGCGCCGGGCAGGAACATCGCGCTTGCAGCCGCGGGAGCGCAGCCGCAGGCCCTGCTGCCCAGGCCCTCTCGTCAGCGCGGCAAGCGGGTCTCTCGGCTACGTGAGCGCAACCCGGCGCTCCAGCACCGCTGAAAACCACCGCGCAGCGCGGCACCCTCTTCCCAACAGAGGCAGCCTGTGAAATGCAGCAAGGGGGAGGCAAGCTGCTCGCTGGCACTTCCAGGCAAAGCGGAAACTGCACAGGGCTCGCACCGCCGAGCCACGACTCACAGCCAAGCTCTCCCTGCTGCAGGCCCCACGCCAGTGGTGAAGATGCCTCTTCCCCAGGCTTTGAAGTTTGCTTTGGTGGGAGCATTTTCACTTCTGAGAGGCTAAAGACATTCTCCTGATATCATCAGGCCCTAAAGACCATGCATTAAGGCCCTGGATAGCTGAAATAGGAATCTGCCCCTGGAGGAAGATGTACAGGGCCCATACTTTGCAAAGGGCTCCACACAACTAAGATAAGCTCTGATTTTCCCATTGTTCTGCAATTTCAAACATGCAAAATGAATCCAGTGCATTCAATAAATACGAACATTACATGTCAAGCTGAAAATTATATACCTACTTATAAAAAGGTTTTGATTGATGGTCTACGTAGAAGTCAATTGCTTCTTTTCTGTAAGAGTTAAAAAAAAGACATAATAAACTCCCTTGAAAACCAGAACTGATCATTCATCAACAAGTTTCTACAGATAATATCTTCCCCAGCCAGCCAGCTTCATGTCCAGTAACAGAAGCATTTAACTTGCTGTCATAGTATGTCCACAGATGCACTTTACTCCAACTTCTGCTCCTGCCTGGGGAAGGAGGTGATCCTTGAAGGCCATTAACACTGATTTTTAGAGTCACCAAAGGTCCCCACCTCCTCATCTTAGGAAATACATGCAGCAGTCTCACCTTCTTGCTAACCACTCACTGCTCAGTCATTTTCATTTCTCATCTCAGCTTGAGTGTGTATGTTAATGAAGTCTCATTTTAAAGCATAAATCGACTGTTTTTCTGCTTCACTGAAACCTATTTTGTTATCAAGGCTACTGCTTGATTACACCGGCATACAACAGAATATTGTATAGCCTGGTTTCTACTCACCATCTGCAATATATTTAATATATTGCAATATGCGGAAATATTTTAAGTCCCCGAGGCAGCTCAATCCCCTCCAGATTAAAACATGCTTTCGCCCCACATCTTGCTGCCTAAAACCTCCATTCAGCCTCGCGTTTCCCCTCTGGGCCACCCCAGTTCCTGCACAGCGCTTGCTCCCCAGGCAAAGGAGGCTCTGTAAGGAGGAGCGCTCCTCACATTCCCACGTGCAAACACAGCCTCCAGGCACATACAGCCTGTCTATACTGTGCTGCTGCTTAGCTTTACTCGGGCACTACGAGCAGTGTATGAGACAGCGCAGCGCTTGCCACGCGCTAAACATCAAAATACTCAAAATCAAAATATCTTTCCAGAGCGAGTGGGGACTGTTTGAGCTCTGCACTGCCACAGCCAGCACCACAGCCACAAGCAGCTCCGGGCTCAGCTTGTGAGTACAGCAGTGGGGGGAGGCATCGTGCAGAGCCCACCTGCCATCCACAGCTGGACACGCCGCACACCAGCTTTCCGCCCCGCTGTACCCAGCCAAGCTGCTCCCGTGTTTAATTCCTGCTAAGTCCGCTTCTTTCTTGGACAGCAGCAGCTAGAATACACTTGACGGTTTTCAAGTCCAACCCTGCTTATTTTGCTGCTTTAAAATACCAGTTCAAAAGCAAAGTCTTGGGCTTGGTGCGTTGGTGAGTTCTGAAGCTGGACTGTGGAGAAGGACAAGCTCCTCAAGCGAGGACTGGGAGCTGCAAGCAAGCAATACTGCTCCCTCCTTACCTGAGTGCAAAGCTCATCACCACAGTAGAGCTGTAGAGAGGCTGAGAGATTCTCCTCGCACTTACAGGAACAATTCTGCAATATTTTCTGGTCTCCGTGATTTTGCTCCCTGTGCTTTTGCTTTGCTCGCTGCTTTTCAGATAATACATTTCAAGCCTGAGCAAAGGCATAGCACTGTCCTCTGCAATGCCACTTTACTCATCCCCCTACCTTTGCTCTAAACATCCTATAATTTCTGCCCATAATTTACAACAGCTGTCAAAAGTCCTCTTCTCAATCCAATTCACACACACAAAAACATGTTGAGAAGCAAATAGGAAAAGTGTATGCAAACAGATTAAGTATTCTTATTTCTGAATATGAGGACATTTTTGAGGGATATTTTTCTGAAACTCCATGCTAGTCTATTAAAAAAGATTCCCTTTACAATAGATATGAAGTTAGAATGAGACTTCATTACTTAATTCCTTTTTAATTTCAACTATCCCATTAATTCTCTACTGTTAAAGAATGGAGAGCAGTGCACAGCTGGGAATCAGGGATTGAATTGAGGCACGATCAGATGCTAGAGTGCTGACCCACCTACGCAGTTGCCTAGCCTCACTTTTGAATCCTAGCAACGTTTTTCATGGAATTCCCGAAGCAAGTTAACAGGCATTGCCAGACAAAGGCCAGCAATAATTCCCTTAAAGAAAGCAGTCGATCACAGTGCTGGTTTGAACAAGGATGCCTGCAGGGATTTAGGTGTAAAAGACTTTGGCACAGCCCCAGTTCTAACATTTTTAAATCGAGCAATGCACGGAGAAACCACAAATGCTCCAATTTTAAATATATCTAGTAACACAGCACAATCTTGTGCTTATTAATCTTTATTTTCAATTTTACAAGACAAGCTGAGATTTTTATATAGCAATAGGCAATAAAAATTTAAATCTCAAAGTTTCTTTTCTTCTTAAGAGTCAGTCAACTGCAGAGCACATGACTTGGCTCAAGAGTTCTTCAAATTCTCAGACAGATACTAAAATAAAGAATCGCCCAACACTTTAGGATCAAATACATCGGATTGCAGGAGTGCAAGCCAAAAAACACTTGGCTTGGAAGACACTGAGGCTGATTGTGAATCAGCATTAGAAACCTGACTAAACTCATGAACTGGAGCTGTTCGAGGGAGGATTGGGACCAGGGCAGTCATACAGGGCAGCAGGTGAACACCTCAATAGGAAGAGGTAGTCAGATAGAACACAGCATTATCTGTATTTCAGAATGCCAGGAACATTTTGAGATAGGAGCAAATTGCTCCTGTTCTCATACAGAACCCGTGAAAGTGGTATGAAAGTTTTTCTTCACAAAGAGATGTTGTATATGGGCAGGTTTAGCAGAGCAACAACTGAGGAATAGCACAGTGGGGAGCTCTTCCACAGTAAATTCACCACTATGTTCTTTCTTCTGCAACATGTTTTCTTTTTATCTTGTGGCTGAGGGCAGCAGTAGGGTGGGCAGGGGAGGGGATTGGGAAGATTCATGAGTAAAGTCTTTCCATCCCTGCAATCACACCAAAAGATCCCTTGCTTTGCTGGGGTCTTCTATTCATTATCTGGGAACATAAATTAAGAGGATGGATTTATTGATGCAAAAAGAACACCACAAATGCTTTGAAGAAAACGCTTATAACTAGCAATATGGTTTGCATCACAAAGCTAAAGGGCGAAGACACAGAAACTTGTCATTAACAAGTATTAGGGACTTGCTGAGGCTATACTAGTCACCCTGGATTCGCACCGAGATGTTCACCCGTATGCATTTGCACAGAACTTTTGCAGCACTTAGCTTAATTCTCTACACACTTTCAGAAACCTACACATGATTACGAAACAGATGAGTCTTCCCTTTGTTACTCACTGGAATGGACTTAATGTGTGGAATAAGATGGAATAACTTCAAAGAATGCCCTTAAATGCTAAAATAATTTTCCAATCCTATAGAGCTAACCTTAAAATTTTCTTACCTTGAAAGCACCATCATCTTGGCCTTGGTTATTGTAAATCCTGCATTAATAATGATATCAATTAACTCTCCCAACTTGGGTATTGCATCAGGTTTAATCAGAGCCAGCGTTCTGGAAAAAAAAGAAAGAAGAGCAGAGAGATACAGCTAACACTACTTTCCTTACAGCATTTAATATACAAAATGAGTTTATATTCAGACAAAAACCATCACATCAAAGGGAAAAATTCTGCCACAGTCAAGCATCCTCATCCCAGTGTCTCATCAATTTCCACGCTGCTCTTGAATGCCTGTTCAAGACATTGTTCAGATAAGGACGAGTTTTGCACATTACAATTTTCTCAGCTTTCTAGCCCAGTTAGCCTACAATGTTCCAGCAGCAGTTGCCATTTACCCACTCCTTCCCTCACTCTCCAGGCTAACAACCTGGTTACTTCTTGCCTTAGCTAATGTACACTTCTATTCCACAGCAACCAATTTCTCCTATATGAAATAGTTGTTATTACATTTAAAACACTTGGAGGCCCTTAGAAGAGGCTCCCACTGTGCTTGGTACAGTACAAACACTTCTTGACATGCAATTTGCATGTAAAATATTCGATACCTTTAATAGATGCAATAAAAGGTTAGAGGAAGGAGCTAGTCCATCTCCTTTACTGACTGACAGGTGTATTCTAAGGGAGACCAAGACAAAAATCTCTACTTTCTCCCCTGCATCCTTGTACCCAAGCACATCCTGTCTTCTCCATAACCATCTTGTTATACAGTACATTTCTCCAGGCCAGACTGTTTTATTAGTATGCTTTACATAGGCTCAAATATACTGTCTGGACTAAATGCATTATTAATCCAAAATAACGTGCACTAAAAGCAGGTCTGTAAAAGGCCTGTTTCTGTTTGTAGGCATCTTGTGGTGAGTCAGCCTCAAATGTGCTCAGCTTACAAATCAACAGATTTATTCAGCCATGTATCCCTGAGACTCCACATCTCTGACAGTCCTAAAGAATTCCTTCCATCTTTTACCCTGTTCCCAATAACGAAGGCTACCCAACATAATTTTTTTATCGCAGTGCTCTCATAAAAGAAGGGCAAATAATGGCAAGTTTCTCATTTCATTTTCCTGCATAGCATGGAAAACAGCCTTTAGGTTCACAGGAATATATTATAATCAGTTCAAAAATGCTGAGGTTACAGGCGATGAGTAAATTTCCACTACATTTACTTTGAACCTGAAGTGACTTCACAAGTTTTAGGAATAGACAGCGGCTATCCCACAGTAAATCCAAAGGAAAGGAGATATGAGAAGAAGGAAAGGGGGACGTGTTGATGCATCTGAGATTTCCTCTGAAAAGGAAAGACATAGATTGTCTTCAGAGCTCAGAAACAGACTCAGATTTCCTCAAACAGGAATAACCTGTAATTAGAATATACTTTTCTAATTTAAAACTTTCTACCAAAACTGTAATTTCTAGCAATAGGTAATGGAACACTATTTTATGAAGTAATATACCTAGAAGACATTAATATAAACTATAATAAGCAACTGTTATCTATTTTTCCCCAGCATTGGTATATAAGCTGTACCACTTCAGTGAGCGCTTCTCAGAGGTGTGCAGGGAAAGCAGCAGCACAGTTCAGACTACTGAGCACTGCTCCTGAGATTGCATTTGGATTCAAGTGCCCTATTTTTAGTTTTAATTAGCAATATGTTTCTTGTAGTTTGACACGATGCAGCCCACAAAGTACATTTTGAAACAGTTTTATGTCTAGGAACAAAGAGGAGGGAATGAAAATTAAGCTCATTTGCTTACATTTTGAGAAGGATTGTACGACAGCACTCCAATGAGTACTAAAAAACAGAAGATGGGAACTGATCAAAGGAATGGTGCACAGTGCATGCTGTGGCTAGGCACGTGAGACCTACTTATTTCTAATAATAGACCTGCTGCATGTAGAATATTTTATGTCTTGTAGTGGAGGAAACACCAATTATGTCAATGACTGGAAGCATATGAATAACATGCCCCAGCAGAAAGAAATCAAGTATTTCTGCTTGCCACATGATTTGTCAAGAACTGTGACAATAACTGACTCTAAGCACAGTCAACTTAGAAGGGACACCCTGGTCAGGCAAACAGTTACCTTTGGTCACAAGTCACCCAGGATAACAAGTGAAGAACTACAGAAACAGCAATCCCCTTCTCACCCCCGTGTTTCCTTACGTGGTGCGTTTATAAGCAAGCGTGTGCTTCTGAGCTCACTGCCTGCGATGGTTCCTTAAAATGCACTGGGAAAGGAGTGAGGAAGAACATTCAAATATAGGCGTATTATCTAAAAATTGACCCAGGATAGAAGAAAGATAGGTGTAGAGCACTACATTGCATTGAAGTTTCTTTTCCTTTTTAGAACTGTCAAAATAATTTTAGCCCAATTCAAGAAAAGAGCTCTGAAAAAACTGGCTGTTTTTACCCATCTGCTTTGTCCTCTGTGCACCTGGAGTCACGTTAGCTCGATTTACTAACACGAACAGGTGTCTTTCATTTAAAACATTTGAGATTTTTGAAGCACAGTCCTCAGGCTCCCTCATGGGCATTTGCTGAGCCTGTGTGCATGCATATTCAGTGACCAAAGCATGTAAGAGATTTTCCAGATTGGAGCTGAAGCGCAGATTGTCTTGCACGGTGCAAAGGCAAGAAAAGATGGAAAAATGTTCTGCCTCAGGCAACAGTCACAAAATTATTAGCAGAAGTCCTCCTACAATGTATTTTTAGGAATTATCACGTGTATTGCATAAATCTTACTTTATCTACTTAACTAATCACAGCTGTGAAACCTTCTAGGACCAGGCCAAAAGGACAAACACCTCATAAGCAGCCACTTTCCCCAAGGGCTCTTTGAGAGCGGCCTGTTTGCTCAGCGAAAGGCAGCTTCCGTGGAGGAACGGGGGTTGGAGGACCTCTTGCCTCGCTGTTTAAGACGCATTTCCCCGTGCTCCTTCGGGCCATTCGGACTATCTCGCACCACTTGCATATCTGTGCTATCTCTCCACCAGCATTCCTGGAATGGTTTCCAAACAGCTGCCGTGTCGTAAATTCCCTTCCTCCCTTCCGCAGAGCGGGATAAAACCTCAGCTCCTGTTCCAGGGCCACTTCATGGACACCGCTGTAGCACTGCTGAACAGCTATAGCTGCTCCTCCACAATGAGATGAATGGGCCGTGTCACTATTAGCTTCTTTGCACTGGTATAAATGCATCAACACCAGGGCTTCGGCTACTTGAGGCAGAGGAGAAAAACCACAATTGTACAAGGGTAAATGGATAAACCAGGCCTAGCTTTATATATTTTTTCTATCAAAGGTGCCACTGAGGAACAGAGAGAGCACTTAAGTATTCAGCAACCCTCCTCTGCTCAGTACCTCAGTACCTCCTTTGCTATCCCCTCATCCATCCCAACTCCGGTTCGGAGTGCCAGGAGAACTCCCCCCTGTAAAGTTATTATGGCACTCATTTCCAAGGCAACGTTTCTGTGCTGTGAGGACGAAGATGACTGTTAGGACTTGCAATCCCATTGAACTCTTCCTTCCTGCCTGGTTACAGACACTTCTTCAGAAAGAGTTAAAATAAGTGCAGACAGGGGGAAGGAGAAAGAAACGAGCCAAATGGGGCTCACTGGACCATCATATCCAAGAAAATATTGCATCTTCTTTTCAAAAATATGCCAGGACTAAACTCATCTATTTTGTAAATTTAGAAGTTATGTGCACTGCAGTCAGAACACTTAAATGCATTGCAAATTAATCTTATTGTCATTTTATTAACTCTCTCCTAATAATTTTGGTTTTGGACTATTAATGTATTTTCTAAACCAGACTTGCCAGCAGAAAGAGATGATGAGTCTCATCTTCTGACATTATAAATGATGTCTGAGTTAATAATGTCATTATGCCTGAATAAATTATGTCATTCATATAAATGAATTTATAATGTTTTGTTTGTCCCAACAAACAAGCCAATAGGTTTTCTTGACATTCTCATTCTATCCTTCCTGTCCTCATGCATGCTGGGATTTGGAGATGCTGAAAAAACTTCCCAGAAGAAAATCTATCATGGAGGGAAAAGCAATGGAGGATGAAAACAATCCTCTCTCTCATTCCTCTTCCTATGGTTTTCAATTACTACTGCTAATACAAAGTACATCTGACTGTCAGGGCATAAACCTGTGGATCACTAGGCTTCTGCACTGCCTCCGGTGAGGCAGGTGACAAAGTCCTTCATGATTCAGTCCTTCCAAGCCAAGCAGACTCCAGGGTACCCAAGCAGGATGCACAAAACACAGCTGTAAACAAAAGGGGGTCAGAACGAAGAATGGTTAAACTGGATCCCAAAGGTTTTCTCTTTCCCCTCTCGCTCTCCCTAGGGACCTGGAGGAGGCAGCACTTGACATCTGGGTAAGCTGATGTTTTAGCAGGGGGAAGAAACAGTCACAGATTTGCCCAAAAGCCAGGACCACTTTGCTTCCTTCCAGCTATCACCACGTTAGATCACTTTAAGCCAGAGGCAAACTTGTCACTACACCCTCCTCTCCCATTGCTCCACAAACCATCTTCTAATTCCAGCAAAGACCAAATACTCTGAAACCCTTACCCTATTGCAAAATTTGCCTTTTCTTACCTCTCCTTGCGGCTGCCCAGCTTACGGGCTGTGTATTGATCCCCATAGTCTACTAAAGAAAGATGACGAGAAAAAACAGTAATTTTGTTGCCCACAAATAAATCCTCAAGGTGTAAGCTGTCATACTTGGTGCGCTTCAGAAACGTGCGATGGTTCTTCACATCATACTGCAGAGAAAAGAAGACCAAAAACTAGTAGAGCAAGAGATTTAAACTAGGGGCACACCCAACATAACCTTTACTTCATGAAATTTCCGAGGGTTGTGGGATTGAGTGTGATCACTGAATTGATTTAATTCCTAGCCCTTTGAACTTGCACATGTAGCAGAAATGCTCAGGAAATTAAACCACAATTACAAATTCGTCCCATTTAAATAGTCCTGGGCTGACAACTCGCTGTGCATTTTTTATTTCATCCCTTACTTGTGCCCTTTCGAGCTGTGATAAATGGTTTGGGTGCCCAGTGGGCATCTCTGCCCAGTCTCATGGAGAGTTCCCCGCAACAGGTCCACACTGCTTCTTAGAGCAGCGACATGCAACAGAAACGACCACGACGTGCTGTGACAGGTCTCTTCCTCAGGCCACCAATGCTGTGCTTTACTTGTACCGCCTAAGACGCCAAATTAGGGATGGAGGGAAGGAGGGATGGATGGAGGGTTGCAGCGCGGGCTTGAAAAGCTCCCTCTCACTGCCTGGAGCTGCCAGCCCCAAACGCCTGTCAGGCCGATTCAGCTGTGTGTCCTCACTGTGGGCAAGATGATCATGCGCAGTTTTCTGGGTGGGTTAGCAAAGCACTAAAGGCAACATGGCAAACGCGTCCTTCTCCACTGCATGTAATTAAAGATCCCTTCAGGCTCCTAGGGAAGTAGAGTCTTATCAAAAGGAGAGTTTTGCCCTCTTCAGCCCAACTTTCCCCTTCCTTGTCTCAAATTGCAGGTGCTAACCCCTGTTGTGGTGGTACATAAACCAGAATGGTGTGAAAAGAAAGAAATTCCTTCCTTAACGTTTTGGGAAAAACACTCAGAGTAGAATTACACACTCTTCTACAGTCTAAACGTTTGAACACATTTCTCTTCTGTTTCAAGCTTGGGTTAAAAGTATCTTAAGTTTTTGCAGGACAGCCAAAATTTTACAAGCAAGAATCCTTCCCTGCTGAAACTTCTTAAATCTTCTCATGTGTGCTTATTCTCAGCGCCCTTTATTCAAGAACAGGAGGGAATGAAATGGCAACATGCTGAAAAGAATCACTTGAAATCGGCTGCCCGGTTTTCCGTGGTCTTAGACAGGTCTTTCCATGGTCTCTTTTAATGTGGCTTCATCACATTAAAATTGTTCAGTATCTTGACTAAAAATATGGATATTTCCCTGGTCATTTTGCAAATAGCTGCTAGAAAGGGGGTCCCCAGATATTCATCTCTACTCCAACAGAGAATAAAGAGGAAGAAGAGGGAAGAAAAAAAAAAAAAAAAGACATCCACCTGCATTAAAGAATTCTTCTTTACAGTGTAACTTTAGATCAATTTAAAATGCAATTGATAAGCCAGAGTGGAAGAAATATAATGCTGTTTAGATTGCCTTTTTTTTTCCCCCTTCCTTCTCTCACATTACATGTACAGCTGAGTTATCTGAATCAAAATAATCCTCTGCTAAGATTCAGTCCTTTTTAAAGCTTTCTCCTCTCTCTTTAGCAAATCTCCTGTAGAAAGGTAAGTTGTTCAGGACCTAAGAATTCGCCACGGGAGATATTAACTATGGAAAAAATCAGAGAATTGGGCTTGTCTCTGTTAAGAGATCCAGTCTGCTCACTACAGTCACTCCCTATCCTTGGACAAAAACCTGTCCTAAAGGCTGCAAGGACAGCTGGAAACTTGTTCTCACTGTTCGTACACAACGAGTTAAGACAGCTTAAGAGCACCTTGAAATCTCTTGGTTTTGAGACACCTAGTTGAAATGAACAACAGTTTTACCAGCCTACACACAGCTGTGTGGGAAGATTATTACAGCTCCTGACTGATTAGCTAAACTGTCTCTGGAAAAAATAAAAAAATAAAATAAACCCAAACGCTCAGATTTTGACAATTGCATATACACACACATCATAGTAAGAACTGACTTTAAAGGAATATTATTGTGGTAGAGCTTGTTTAAACAGGTTATCAGTAAAAAGTGCAACGAGCATCTCCTCACACAGGTATGTGTCATAGTGTCAGTGAGTAGCAGATTGGGTAAGAAAGTAGCGATTCTGCTAGCTTTCTTATTTCTACATGTGATGCTTGCAGTAGGAAAACCAAAAACCTGGATATTCCCCCTTGTTAATTTTACTTCCAATCTAGGCCACTCTCAAATCCCTTAGGCGTTCATTAAAAATCAGAAGACACTGGGTCCAACCATTGACCCACGGGATCCCAAAGCCCTGGTTGGTTTATTGTTCTTGTCTTTCCTATGCATACTACTTTTTCATAGATATACCTGCTTCTGAAAACTGCTTGTTTGTTGGTAGTGCAGGTAAAATCAAAGGCAGTATTTGTAGGAATCTAAAGTCAGAAAGATCTTTGTAAGCACCACTGACAGAAAAACTGGATGCCACTTTCTGAATCATACTTCTTTGCATTAAAACTGACCTAACAGCAGTTTGCGATTTCATCGACTTTGGTAACACTTTTTACATGTCACTCTTCAGAGAACTGTTGCTTTCCATCTGAAGCTTGTGTCCTTGTTTGGAATCTGTTTCACTTTGTTTTTCATGCCATAGGTCAGTGCTGCTGAGTTTCAGTACTAAAACCCCAGTAGAGATTAAGTAAAATTAGATTTGTGAAAATAAATCTATCCATGCCAAAGCAAGCTTTCCAGAATAAATTTGTAAACATGGAAGTTCTTCTACATGCTCCACTGTGAACTGGTATCTTTGCTTTTCTTTTAGCTTTAGAAAGAGATCAAGGGATGCCTTAAAATACATTATGATTTCTTGGGAATTTAAAACTGCACCATAGGTAGTGTCTTGCCAATTTCTAAACTGTTTAACTGGATAATACGCTTATGAAAACAGGATTTTTTTCCTCTTATCCTTACCATTTCCACTGATCCATCGTTCGGATAATACAGAAGCTCATAGCGTCGGAATAGTGAAGCATTTGGGTCATACCATTCAGCAATGAAAGCAAATCTGTCAGCTTGACTCTGGAAAAAGAAAAGCATGCGGGGGAAAGGTTATCACAGCAATCAGATATGTCTTTGTATATTCAGACACAAAATTTAAAAACTACTTTGCACTTGTTAGTTTCACCAGTCAAAAAAATCACTAGTGAACGTTCTCCACAGCGAGCATATCACCACCAGATCTGCTTACCCCGGCAAGCTGCATCACTTCACTTGCTGGCTACCATCTCCTACAAGCCAGAAGTCGGTGCTGCCATGAGTGCCTTGCTTGAACTAGCTGCTTTAGAATTAACTCGAGTATCACCTCTGCACTCCAGCCCTCGACACCAGTTAAACCACTGCTGTTTAAACTGAGCGCAGGACCCATCACAAAACCTCTCTAGGGACTTGGCCAGCCGCGCTCGTCCTCACTGCAGCTGCCATCCTTCTAGAAATACATAAGCTGGAGCAAATACTTCCCTTCCCCCTAAAAACTCACGCTTTCATTATTTTATATACACACGTCCTTGACAATAAGCAATAATGAGAGATGGCAGACAATAATAAATGACAGATTTCAACCTTGATCTAAATCTGCTCATATTGCTGAAGACAAAACAAAGCATTTGATTGATGAGTCCATCATCTTGTCGGTGATGCAGGTTACAAAGCACTATTCCAAACTGGTCCATTACCAAAGAGGTTGTCTAAAAGGAAAAACAGGCTCTTGTTTTACCAGAACACCTCCAGGAATTGAGTAGTGGACTACAAAATAATAAAGCATGCACCACCCTTAATCAGTGCTACCTCGTGACAACAAGACCTACAAAACTGTGTTACTTTTTGCCATTGTAATTATGTGACGCTGTTGCATCACTTTTAAATATGCTTTCTAGGTAGTGGTTGTCAAAGATGACACTAATTTTCATTTTAACATAATTCCAAAATTTCCACACGCTTCTTTGCCTCAGGCAAGTAACATTTATAAGAACAAGCAAAGAAAACACCATTAGACTTTTAATTTAGTCATCAGCATTAGTCACCAGCATCTTCATAGTTACAGTGAGCAACCATATTATGCACCATGTCTGGCGATGATTTTGTCTACTTTTTTCTCTTTTTTTCTTTTTTTTTAACATAACCTTGGTTTTAAGGTGCCTTTGAAATTAACTTCCTAAGATCTTACCCAAAGTCTGAGCTATTCACATTTGTTATTCAGCAGACCACTGCCTTTTACTCAGCAGGATGGCTGAAATGACTATTTCTGTATTATCTTCTTTGAGCACAGTAACGAAAGACAAAGTAATAAACACTACTTTGATTTGAAAAACACAACTGAGCCAACTCCTTAGTGCCCAGTGGAATCAATAATGGAAGCAACGAGCAAGAAAATTTCAACAGATTCTTATTTTATGTGGGGGAAATATGGAGAGCTAATAGATTTCTAAGGTGATCAAAACAAACTCTAGAAAGCTTGTCCTGGGTCAGAAGTATGATTTGCTCTGCTTTATGGAGATAGAATTACCACAATCAATATTTTTTTTCAAATACACAGAATACAACATTACATTAACAGAAAACAACAGTTTATGGGAAACTCTTCAAAACTAATCAACTCTGTTTTTGAATAGGTAGATTGTTTCACAATGCAAAATGAAGGATTTCAAGATTAAAAGCAACTTGAAGATCCTGGGAAACAAGTACAATGTAAAAGAGAAGAGGTTTGTAATTCCACTATTGCAGATTTATGCCTGTAATCTTATAACGACTCAAGAGAACCCTGAATGCAATATCATGCCATCGAATAAAGTGAACATATTCTGGTGAGCCATTCCCAGGCATCACTGTAACACTGTTCTTCCAAGCCATCAAAGCATCAACGAGCTTAAAATCATAGGCTTAATAAAGTAAGGATATGTTAAGCTCATAACACCTGCTCCTTTTTAAACAAGGACTGAGACTTTGATTTAGCTCGGGAGTAGGATTTTGAAGGCAAAAGCAAATACAAACAACATTCCACCTCCCATCAAATATCATAAGGATTGCAATAAAATACTAAAGCTTTGCAATCTGGAAATTCTTTCATGTTTACTTTCATCTGCCATTAAAATGCTCCATCAACAGAACTAGGAGAGACAGAAACCATCTTGCCTGTTCTTCCACTGGTGTCCCAGACTGCAGTCGGGAGGGGAGTCTCAAAGATGAGAACGTACTAGCCACACTACATTAATCCCTGGTTTCTGATCATCCTCTTAGCAAAGGAATTTCACCAAGAAAACCTTGTCCAGAAGGGACTGATTGAAGATAGCAGCATGTTCAAAGTGCCCCAATGCTCTGGATCAGCACTGAGTCCTGAAAGTCAAGGGTATCAGAGGCCTGGAGCAAACAGAGCCCTGGCACCCCATTCCTCACAGAAATGTCTAAAAACCACTTTGGACACTAGTCAAATCATTGTGAACAACTCAACTCTCAATAATTCATGTAAATCTATGAATACTTTACAACTCAGAAAATTCTCCTCCTAAAATCTAAGTTTCCAGGCATTTATCTGTACCCTCATCACTACACTCAGCCTCCGCTGTTATGACTACATAATTAACCAAGCAATTCCTAATCAGACAGAAGTAACTTGTTTTTTTCCTAAGAGATTTCACTTCATTGGAAAAATTACCGGTATTAAAAGAGAGAAAAAAAAAGAGTATATAAATATAAATCACGAAATTGCTTCTGGAACTTCTAGAGTCGTTGCTTTGAGTTCACCTCCTTTATAGCCCCTAATCCCATAATAAACTCCAGGGTGTTAGGGTTTTGCCTACTGTGAAGATGGAAAGAATAATCTTCCTCTTTCTTCGTTCTCTCACAAGCTGCAGGGAAATGGAGCTTGATTCACCTCTAGGTTTGGCTAGTTTCGTTTTGTTTGTTTGTATGTGTGCAAATACGCAGTGGGAGGGCATGTTGCACGTCTCTGTGCACATGTGAAGCACTTGCTGAGGGAAGGCTGAATCAAACACAGGAAATTCTGTGCTCTGGAAGTCAGGGAGGTGGTGGTCATCCCGCGCTGACGCCTGAAAGCTCAATCCAGGCACATGGGAAAGAGAAAGGTCTACGCTCACAACACCCTGCTGCAGGGAGAAAGGGTTCATCTGCCACGTAGCTGCTGAGGAAGCTCACAAGCAGAGAGCAGAAGGCTTCATAACCTCATCAGGAAAAACAGGAGACTTCCAACGGGCTTCTGCCCTGTGGCAAGACCAAAGGAGATTATTCAAAGCTCTTCACAAGGAGCAGCAGAACAGCAGAACACTGGCTCAGGGACAGGGAACTTGCATGGAAAGGGAGAGGAGTGAGCTCATCCCTCCCACCTCAAATGAGCAGAAATGTATCCCAACATGGTTAGCCCAGCTTCAAGCTGTCTTCTGAGAGCCACTGCACGTCACTGTTCTGGGGTGCGTGTGTCTGCTGTTTGCATCTGGTTTTGTCTAGGAAACTCATCCTAGTTTATTTTAATATGGAAATAGCAGGGAATCAGGAGCTAGGGATTTAATTTTCTAGTGGGCATAGGCACTTTTAGGCTCATTACAGGCTAAGAGAGGGGAATTTAGATGCCTTATTGCTGAAGAGACAAGATTTTTATTAAAACTTTGCTAGAGGGAAGGAATAGTAGTGACTGTTAGTAAGGATGGCATTAGTGTTTTCTGGCTTGTTGGCCACTTTAAGCTTTTGAGCTGTAACTTCTGTGATCTGTTTCCTGGGAATGACTTGCTGTGCTTAGTTATCAGCCAGCAATGCACTGTGACCCTCTGTGCTTCCTACTCAAGGAAATTTCACATTAAATAGTCTCAAAATATTTCTTAAAATTAGGAAAGCCCTGATATATCCAGAGATAGCAAGGGCATCTCTATGTTCCAGTAGCTGTCTCTATTCAGGCCATCACATGCTACTGGCAACTTCACCCTGAATGAATTATTTGACACTGGCTCATGGCCTGTTGCCCAAAAGTTTACAAGTTTAGGAGTCACAGAGTATTGGGAAGCTTCATGCCTGCTACTTCTTTGATTCACTCTGAAACAGCATCAGACACTCTGTTGGGAGTGGGAAGCTTCATGCCTGCTACTTTGATTCACTCTGAAACAGCATCAGAGAGAGTCAAAGGGCCTGAATCAACTCTCAACAGAGCAATAAAGCAGAAGCTGGACTAGAGCCAAATGGATCCATGTTGACATCTGCACTCTGCAGTTCATAACACTCAAGGCTGATATTGAGAAATCCTGCATCTGAGAACACTGATCCAGAAACCAGCTGTTTCTGGGAAAACTATAGGGAACAGAGCAGCGTAGCAGGCAAGAACAATCCTCACAGTGAATGCATATTTCTCCTAATAGACAAAGAAAACGGTCTGAAAAGATTGCCCCAAAACTTATTAAAATTCTGGCAATTATTTTAAGATAAATGTTTCTTTCACAACCTGCTCCCCAAAACCACTCTCATGGGGTTCTCAAATATTTTGGGAGAACAAGAATATTGCTTTTATAGAAGATGAGATGGTAGTAAATGATGAAAATACAATTATTTTAAGACTTCTCAGGTGAACATATTGCGAGACTCGATGACTCCAGCATGAGGTAATGTGCTGGGGCAACAGGTACTTAACTTACAATTCAAGGAAAAACCCAACTATGTGCAAGTTTGCTGAGGGCTCTCTTTGGCTAAGAGTAGAATTGCTGAAATGGCCAGTCAAGAGTCAACTTTTTTCTTATCCTTACTCTTTGTAGGTTGTACCAAAAAAAAAAAAAAAACAAACGTCTTGCAGTGTTTAGACAGACACCCCTTCAGACATGGGGCTGAAGCAGAGGACCTGGCCAGCTGCCTTCCACAAAAAAAAGTTCATTTCACGGCTGCATCCAGGAGATAATTCTGCAGACATATAATCAACCTCTAACAGTAGGTATCCAAATCCTGTTATGGATTATTTGAAATAGCTCCTCAAAGCTCATAAATCTCAGATCACTCCTTTTTCCAGAACACTCATCACAGGAGATTTAAATCAACCACTTCAATACAAAGGAAGCTGCTCACTGTAAAAACTGCTAGTCTGAAAAGCAAGAATCAGGAGTTGCAGCCGCATTTATCTCCACCTGCCTCAAAGGCAGCTACTCACAGACTTCTACTCCCCCAGCAGGCTGCAGATATAAACAGCATCACAGAATGGCCAGTTTTCAGAAGCGCCCC